TCTGATAATACGAAATGTTATTTTAAATTGCTTCTGCTCTCACGAACTGCACGGTATAATGGTTTTAAAATCTTAGGTAAATAGTGGTAATAATTGATATTGGGCTAACAGATTTTCCTCTATTGCTATCACTAGTATAGTTATAAAATTCTTGTATATGCTGGTTAATTAAAAATATATCCAATTATTTAGTAATCTGGACTCGCTCATAAGAAAGTCCTCGAAAAATGCTGATGTTTAAAAAAAATGTCTATCCAAATTTCATAAGTTTTTATAATAAAACCAAATATTAGTAATCTTCTATTCATATTTTTGATAGTATTTGTCTTGAAGTTTCGAAATGTATATAATTGTGAGAATTTGAATAAAGTTAGCCAACTATTTATTTGTTAATGAAAAATTATAAAATTAATTAATAGAAAAGTAGCTTCAATGATTATTTGAGGTATAAATATTCCAACGAAATCTGACTGCCAAAATAATAAGTGAGACATTGAGCTATATTTCTATCACCATAAAATTTTCATCTAAACTATTATTATATTTTAATTCCAATTTATATTTTTACTACCGAAATATGCTTACGTGAAGCAGGAAACAATCTTTACGCTATACAACTCCAAAATTTGATTTAAAACTTTCAATCGTGATATGCCAAGAAGAAACTTCAAACGATATGAATACAAAAAACTGTACAACTTTTGTAATACATTTTATTCCAATGCACGTCCCATTTCTTATTTTGAATAAAAACTTGCTCGTAAGTTAGATTGATATTTTTGCTTTTTCATTTTCTTACGTCGTGCATAAGGTTTTATCTGATGCATCTGATGGGAAAATGTTGGCATTAGTTAGAATTTTATAATACAAGTTTCATGATATCTAGATATATTTTTTGAGAAATGTAATTCGATTACATTCATAATACTTCCTTGAAGATTGATAATAATGTAATATGAGTCTCTGAATAGGTTCATGAACCATTTTTTTGATATACAATATTGGATTTTTTTCAATATTCAATTTTATGATTATGATTCTTGAAAATTGATATCACTGGTAAGAATGACAAATATTTTTCATTGCTAAAATATTGTGACTGATATAAATAAATATTTCATTGTGTTTTTTATTTACCGATTAATTCGCTTACACGTTTGAATAATTCATTTTCCTCTAGGTAACATATGCCTCAAATTTATTATGATATATTCGAATAATTTTTAACTGAATAATTTAAACAAAATATGATTGAATACTTTCACCATACCATCATATATCAATTTACACATAGCAATCATTTTCAAAAGAGAACAAGCTTTATATTACATCACTTGCAAAAAATTGTCGCGTCACGTTTGTCACGCCTGAATAGCTAATATTGAGTTTCTTTTTTGTTAGAAACGGTTTATTAAATTCACATGTCATGATATACATCTCGTAGCAAATGCGATACAGGACCTCCATAAAAGCTCAATTTTTTGCCAAAGTTTATTTAAACGGGTATACCCATATGACACCCAGAAGGGCTCGAGGTATGTCAATTATTCACAGAAATTCAGGCTGCGGGAATATTAGTCTGGGAAGGCAAAGAGTAAATATAATTATGTATAACTTAATTATATATAATGGGTAAAAGTATTTTTTACCTAAAATTGTCATTCCTCCTAAATGAAAATGAGCATGAATTATTTTGTAATTTATAAGAGCTACAGAGATTGGATAGTTATATAGTTTAATTTTCTTTAATTAAAATTTTTTAAGTACTGGATTTAAAACAATTGTATAAGCTGATTTCAATGAATATTTAAACAAAAGAAATTTACACTAGCTATATTAATTTATTTATCAACCTCGTTATGATTATGTATATTTCAATCATATTATCATAATATTTCAGGTACAATTAACTTGATATTATTCCCCAATCAATGACATGGAATATGATTTATAAATTTATTAAAATAAAATGAATAATTATCCGCTCGAATATTTAACACGTAGAATCACACACTACGCAATAAATCTAAACAATATCCAATAATGTAGGTCACATATTCATGATTCAATTAATTAATAAACTATTTTGAAATTAATGACAACATATCATAAAGTTCATTTATCGGAGTCGATGCGTGAACAGCACGTATAAATAGAATTTAAAAATACACCATGAATTTATTTGCAAGCTGCTGTTGTTGTTTATTGTCATATTTATTTTTACTTTGGCTTTGATGTTTTTTGCGTAGGTTATTGAAAATAAAAAGCGTTGGAAAATAAATATAAAAAAGCTGATATTTGCAGCGCTCTATACGGTTTTGTAAAGGCAGATGGGAATGTGAAATAAGAGATATGAAAGAACAAAGCAGTTGTTTACAAGTTAAAAAGTTTTTCTTATTGATTTTTGTTGCATGATATATAAAAAGGTATAAGAAAATGTCTTTATGCTCAGAATAATTATTGGTCTCGATCTTGTTTCACTTTTAGGCTCAGAATTATGGTGCTGGATACGAATATTCTGAAAGTTTAATATTCGCCCCTTTTTGCGTTCAACTTTATTTTTTTGCGAAAAATTCTACAAAATGAAATGCCTCTCCGACATGTTCGTACAGCATCGGCTGGCACAAAGAAATAACTGCGAAAATGTCATTGAAAATCGCTTTAACAAACTTTTCTAATTAAATAATCATTAGCCGGTCGAGGCTCGGTTCTCTTCCAAACGGTGAACAAGAAAGACGGTGACATTAATTTTTATCAAAGTTTATGAATGATTGCGCATAGGTTTTATTTATCGAAAGTAACGCTGAGGTTTTTTCCACTTTTCGATTCATTAATTACGAAATGTATACGCAAGTTTTTATTCGCCGAAGATCTTACAGAAATGTCGGCTATTGATTTTATACGAATCGAGCTTTTATTTGAATATTTCCCTGGATTAGAAATGAAATGGCAAGTTGAAAATTTGGAAAATATAATAAATTAAAAATATTTTCAAAGATTAATGTATACTCATAACTCCTTACATAGTAACAACTGCTAAAATTGCTTCATTTAAAATTTGATCTTATTATAGAGCTCCTATTCTGAACAAATGCATTTTATTTGAATATAAACGACTACGTGTTCAAACGTAAATGCTGCACCCGACTGCCAACAACAGCGTCATTTGCTCTTTCTGAAAATATCAATACAGCAATTTCCTTTGAGAAATTTTGTGAAATAAACACTTGCAAACGTGCTTCGAGCTTCTGTTCGCGAATTACGCGCATGTAACGGCAAATTGTTTTAACGGGCATCGACCTGACATACGGTTACTTTATGCGACATTGCGTTTACGATTTTGCGACATTCTCGTCTTGGAAGGATCTCTCCACCGCCGACGCGAAGGCGTTCATGCGTCTTTGCGTTCACGTAACATTTAAAGAGGAGCTTATGTAATGGATTTATCGCCTATGTTCCGATGTTTTTAATGGAAATTTTCAAGATATATTTATTTTCGAGTCTAGCAATGTATTTATCGACACTCTTAATAACCTACGATTATAGCATACCTAATAATATTATTAAAAAAGTTATCAATGGCCAGCATTCAATTTGTGGAAACTGTTCATACTTATCCAAAATTTACAAATTGAAACATACTTGATCACTTACTTATAAACTGTTTACGAAGATTGATATATTGATATATATTTGTATAATTTCTTGATCAAAAATAGTTGCTTTTTTATTGGCTTTTGACTTACATCATTTGGCCAGATGCCATTCATACGATCGTTTAATACAAAAACTTATTAAATAATTAACTTATAAATTAATCTTAGCATTATTAATAAACTTAAATCTGTATTTATGCATTTTTATATTATTACTAAAATGACATTTTCTTTCTATAAATTTGTTATTAATGACATTCTTTTGCTTTGGTATCAATTACATTCCCAAAACAGGTGTTCTAAAAATAGTAGTATTGAGATCAAAATGATATTTGAATAAAACATGTAACAGTAAGTATAAGTAATTTAATGATTTTGCACGACATAATAGTTAATTGATTTATTTCATAGTATTCACGAGAATATCGAATTATATTAAAAATATTATTATGCAGAAACAAGTCTATAATTAGGATCCGGAAAAAATTGTTTCCCCATAGCAAATATATAGATGTTTTAGTAATTATTATACGGAAGTCCACATTCGCTTAATGGATTACAAACCATTAATTCCGACAAGATGAATATGTATAATAATTTATTCATATAGTGATTGCGTTGAAAGTATATCACGTTATTACAATTGTTAATTGAAAAAATCAAATTAATACTACTAGCACATCTGATAAAAGTACTCAGTTATTTCAGCTGAGGTCTGAATATAGATCCTTGAATTTTAAGAAATCATCAAATCTAGAAAAAATGGTCATGTTTTTAGGGCATAAAATCCGACTTACATTTACAGATATTATAAGTTTGCGCTGAAAGTATGTCACGTTGTTAAAATCGTTAATTAATAAAATCAAATCAATAATACTTGTACATCTGATAAAAATACTCAGTTATTTCAGCTGAGGTCTGAATATAGATCCTTGAGTTTTAAGA